AAACAGATTTCCTTTACCTAAATTTTTGTCATTAGTCGTTGCATTATATTCATGAATAATTTGTTCCAACTTTATCCCTTTGGATAAGATAGACGTATCGAAATAAATGTACGGATAACCATCATGACGATCATAAAGCAAAATAAAATTAGAATTTCGAATTGAACAATAAACATCCACATGACCAGAAAAAATCGTAATTAATATTCTAAAACAAAAATATAAGAAAAATATTTAATATTACAAACACTATTGAAAAGTATATTATAACTTAGCATATGTCTTTTCTTATTTAATATTAATATTTTCTTTTAAAAACCGGATTATTGTTTTCAAACAATTTTAATCTTACCGAATATTTAGATTTCTATAACCAGGTGTTATTTCAAATGCCAATGCTTTGTTTTTCTGATTATCTTGATCTGTCATTTTAATAGCTGTTTGAGATGTAGAATTTGTACAATTATAATCAGACGAATGATTTGAATAATCGAAACAATGAGAAGTATCTGTTGATATTAGTCTAATATGATAATAAAGCATTTGATCAAAGAATAAAATCAATTTTGAATGAAAACTCTTACTTGTAACATCGATGTCCTTGCTCTGATTGTATTCCACTATAACCACGTTTGCATTGATCACATTGAAATAGTTTTGTTCGACATGAGGACAACGAAGAAGAAGGATATTGTGTACGATTTAAACATTGTTGGGTTACTGATGAATCGTCGATAGACAGTAAACAATCACATCGACCGGGAACTGAAACAGATTTAAACTGTTATTTTTGTATAAGCCGTCTCTTCATCGATCGATCACAGATGAAATTCTCAAAATCTTTAGTATATGCTGCGTCATCATTACGCAACGACTCCGTTGTCATACATCGTTGAATTTCGGTTATTTTTTCGACATATGATTGTGGTCTATTTTTCTCCACTAAACAATTAAACAAATTACTTACCATCGGGTTTGCATTCGATCGCTTGTCCATTGCAGTAACATTCGAAACATGTTGATTTGAATTCTTGTATTTGTGGCATATATCTCAAATTTAATGTTGAACATAATTCACAACGAGATCCACGACCACGACTACTGTTTCCACAATACATACAAATCTAATGAATGAAAAAAACTGTATTTCATCACAGCTACACATTCTTTTTCAATAGTAAGAAAGATGTGAGAAAGTTTAGTTTTAGTATTAGACCTGATCAGAGTTTTTAGCCTCTTTGACTACTGGTGTCCTATTAAAATGATGCCTTGAACATTTCAGATTTTGCCTTGACGCAACTCTCTACAGTTAGCATTTTGTCTGCCACATGTCACTGTGAATATAGCTGCCTTCAGAAGCAGTCTATCAATTCAAGAAATACATGAAATTTTGGCCAACACTGAATCCGAAGTGGATACTGAAGTTGATGGAAATGGATGGGAAAGTGATGGATCTGATAACGATAGTGAACACCAGAACCCATTCGTGAACCGGTGCTTTTTACGACTGTTGAACACACAGAGAAGCAGATTGGCTACGTTTCTATGCATACTTACTGGATCTGAATCAGGCTCTTCTACCAGTGTTAATGTCGTTTGTTGTTTTAAATAAGTTTCGAAATCATGTTTTGCTACTAATTGCTGACAATCTTTTAGATTTCCATATGTTCGATTTTTCTCATTGAATATTCGCTCACATATACGTCTTAATAACGATGGTCGTAGACATATGTCTGTTT